CACTGGAAGTGCAGCAGATGTGGTCGGATGCATGACTATGTAAACACACACATGAACCCTTGTGCACACAAAGGCTGGTAAAGTAGCAAAGAATATTTCTTTAACTCAAATCTGATCAAATCTGATCTGATTTCAAACTTTTTGCTCTGTAGAAAAATAAACCATCACATAAATTTAGAAATGGGACAAACTGGCAACTGTAAGTTATACATACACTGCTCAAAATTATTGGGACACTCCGAATACAAATATGTCTCGTTTCCAAGCTAAAGTCATCATTTATTCATCTGCATCTAAGAAAAGTCTGACGACCAGCAATAACAACCAGACTGGGTTTCGCAACAACATCTTTGCACAGGGTTGATTCTTAAGTGGTAGAGCGAGCATTACACTGAACACTCTCTCTACCAGCTAAGAGGCCTTTGGAAAACTGGGCCCAGGTTTACAAACTGAAACACAAAACAATCTTGATAATTAACTGAAAACTTACGGTAGCAAAAAATTCAAACATTAGCAGGATGAAACATTAATGTAGACTTAAAAAAATGGTTCTTCAAGGGTTCTTTAGTTAAGGCACCCATGAACCATGAGTTCTATATAGAACCATGTGCATGCTAAAATGATTCTTCAGATTGATGGAGAATGTGCTGTATATGGTTCTGTATAGAACCGTTTTGAAAATGGTTCAACAATTTTGGTGAAAAAAAAAGACATCATAACAATAGCAGAACCCTTTTTGGTGCTATATGGAACCATTTTCAAGAGGGTTCTATATAGAACCACATACAACACATTCTACACTAACCTGAAACCATTTCACCATGCAAAGAACAATTTAAGCATGAAATGGTTCTATATAGAACAGAGCCCATCCCAGCAGTCATTGGGCAGAAGGCAAGCTGTAAAACACTGAGAATTAAATTACTATAAAATTATAATGTTTTGTAACTGTAAGAAAATAAATTAGTAACATACTACTCATCAAGTCCAAATCTCAACATCACTGAATGTGTCTGGGATTATGTGGATCGTGAGAAGCAGAAAATACAACCAACTTCTAAGACTGAACTTTGGAGGTGTGGAAAAATATTACTGTGGATTTCTTTGAAGAACTGACATTAAGGCTCCTGAAAAGAATGGAAGCTGTAATAAAGACAAGGAGGGGACTAATTAGCACTGAAAAATATGATATTTAATTGATGAGGCTTGTGTGCATTTTTCTGTTTAATATTCCCTTTCGGCCCCCCCAATCCCTCATACCTCCAGGCTGAAAAATGAATAATGTAAATTAAACTGTGCAACTTAAATGTACGTTAATACTGAATAAAATAACAGCAATAATTAATACGGCAAGTGATTCTAATAAGTTCATAGCATTCACCAGAAAACACGACTACGGTAAAAGACATGCAAAAAAATGACTGGATAAACAGAGTTCTGTAATAATTTTTATATTTGTATAGATTTATATATTACACATTTATTACAGACACAGAAATCATGAAGAGAAGACAAAGTGGTAAATTTGTAAAAATGTACATTTTGTGAAGGAAAAAAAAAAATTACACAGATCTTCCTTTAACACGTCATTGAAACGACAATAAAAAGAATGAACAGAAAAGGAAGAGACGAGATTTGAGAAGCTCCAAAAATGCCTTCGAACATTAATCCGACAGTCGTAGAGGCAGCAAGAACCAGCTCGCTAAAATACACAAATCACACACATGTATGTAATGTAGTTTTCTGGACAGAGGAAGTGAGTGTTGGACAGTTCATTAATGCTACTGACACTGTGACCCTAACGTCCACCGGTTAATACCTGCCTCTACACTAAACACCCAAGGCCATTTTATAAACTGAACACGGAACGCACATTCGGTAGAATCACATACAGTACACCGTTAAAATTTCCACTAAAACAGTAAAGATTTCCAACGTGTGCCTAGTTACTTCACGAGAAACGATAACATGAAAAAAAAAACACAAAATTGCTGTTAAAACAACAAAACACATCATTCCTAGGAAAGAAATCCCAGATTCACTTTTTTGTTTTTTAGCAGATATAACACATACGCCTGTGTATTATTATTTAAGGTATCTGTGGTGTCTCCCCATTCATTGGTTTGGGTAGCCCTTAAAGAATTGGCCCTCTAGATTAAGGCACAGGGCCTTGTGTAGGAACTAGAGTCGGTTTATACAAATAAACCAACGCTACTGACCCCCTTAAAGCACTTTAGAATCGTTCTCCCCACTGAATCACAGTGCAAGCCTGGAAAAAGGCGAGGGCGGGTGCCTCGAAACTGATCTCCACAAATTGTCACGGTACTATATTCATTGAGGAATAAATAAAAAAATTATAAAAATTTGGCAGTTTGCAAGCTGGTGCACAATCCAGGATACGCTCCGTTTCTCTTTAGTTTCCTCTGATTTGTTACTTCAGTGTAATATTTGGCAAATCTACATAAAAGCCACTAATTAGGTGATGTGGACTGCAGTCGTTTGATGAAATGTGAGTAGAATTTTTCACAATTTATCCAAATGACTGCTAACATTATTAATAACGGAATATTAGCTGCGTAAAGGGTCGTCAGATCTCGCCATTCGGTATTTTGAGGACACTTTTCTCCCAAGAATACAAAGGTATGGCTTTAGGGCCAAAAATACGTTGCACTGCAAAAAGTTCTTCTTTCCTTTCCAACACTCTTAAAAATAAAAGGTGCTAAAAAGGAGAGGAACCCATTTTGGTTCTGAAAAGATCCTTTCAATGGTTATTTAAATGTTCAGTCACAAGCAAAAAAAAAGTTCTGAAGCACAGAAACCTCCACATAATGCAAATGCATTGTTTTACAAACTTTTTTTTTTTTAAGCAATGCAAATCATTTTTCTTTCTTTCTTTTTTTTTTAAAAAAATGCTAATGTTTTATCTGTTTCAAGAAATAATGTAGATAATAATGCTTTTGTAAAGAGATTCTGCAGATCATTTTTGTTTTTTTCCCCAGTAATAATGCAAGTAATTTTGTAGAAAGAAATAATGTGGAAGATTTTGCTTTCTTCATTAAATGATGCAGATAATTTTGCTTTTTCAAGAAATAATGATTTTTTCTTTAAAAGAAAGCAAAATTATCTGCATTATTTCTTGAAAAAAGCAATATTATTAATTAAAAGTAATGCTGATAATTAAAAAAATAATACTTTAAACAAGAAAAATACTTGCCAACAGAAGAAGAGAATTTCAGTAGATACAATGACTTAAATAAAAAGATGTCTACAAGTAAATTGCTGCTGTCGGAACAAAACCTTGTATCACCATTTTTCAGTTTTTGACGAAATTTGAAAGTACCTGTTGTCCTTAATATCATGTGCAAATTTCAAAAGGAATGGATCAAAAGAAACAACCCAAAATGACTTGGAAAAAAGTCTGGTTCCATTGACTTACATTAAAAGTGAAGGATGTTATTACTTTCTTCTGTAAAGTTATCATTTTGTTCTGAAAGCAGCAAAATTCTCATTCTTATAATATTTTTTCAACATTCTCAAAATGAGAAATATTAGATATCTTGGCTAGATCTAAGATGATTTCACCTGCCAAGAGATTTCTGTAGTGTGGTATAGAACGTTTACATTCTGTGGAGGTTCTTCACATCTCATGTTCCTTTATGGCACCACTGAAAAGATCAGGAAACCAAAAGTTGTGCTTCTTGCAAAGAACCCTTTTGGCACCTTTTATTCTTACATGTATTAGAGTATTCTGGAGAAAGAGGGCATTCAATGTAAAGAATCTGAATCACTATGTGGGAAATCTTTCAACAGATACATCTACAAGTACTGTGCTCTGTGTCTTTTGGATTGTCCCTCCAAGAGGACTAGTTTTAAGGCTTGAAGATGAACCTGCCAACACTCTGAGTAGATTGGCAACAGTGGCACAACATATTTTAAGCTATTGACATTATAGGCAGTGCAGCACCATTCTTCTAAATAGAGTACACAGGCAAAGGACGCTTTGTATTAAAAACGATTGTTTTTTTTCCCAGGAGACAAAGGCCTATATTTAAATTAGCCATTTTTAGGCAGTTATTTCCCTTCAACATCCCAGTAAAAAGAGTATAAAACTGAACTGGCACTTAAAACTTAGAAAAAAAAGGAAAACAATGTGCTTTTTTTATGTTTTGCAAAAGTCTGTCGGGGATCTTCAAGTTTGGTAAGGTAAGAAAAAGAGGCACTGAGTTCAGTTTGTGTTCCCCCCCCATTGAACAAAGTCACACAACTAACCTGGATTCTTGACAGTGATGTGAAAATGGCACTAAAATTGACACAAACTCTACACATAATGCAGCTGACAGCTTATATCTTCATTGCACATTTACGGTGAGAAATACAAACAAGACAACCACTGTGAGAGACATAAATTAGCAAGTTTTAGACACTATGCATAACGCTTAAGTTAACCAATCGATCCGCGATATCAAAACTGGGCCGAATCCCAGAAACCTCAAATGACCAGATCAGATCGGACAACTTTAGACAATCTGCATGGAAAGAACCTGTGGGGAAACATCCTTTTTGGACAAAAAGCTAAGAGTTCACGCTGCCTGGAAGTATTGCTGAGGCATTTTTTTGTCCTGTCCCTCCTTTCGCTTCTTAGTCAGTGTGACTGACTTAAGGTTGAATATACAAAGAAGTGACTAATATCTATACAAATGGCCAGGAAGATTGTTAGTGCAGATATATATTTTTCTTTTTTTTTGTTTTAGATATGCTGTATGTTATATATAATTCATATTACAAATTAACTATACATTTCAAAACAAACACTACCGTTCTGACTTTATAAAAGTCTGAAAAAAATCAAAAAAGTATCCAAGATTAACAATTACTTCTTCTTTTCATTCATCAATATTCCGACATTCCATCTTTGTTTTTTGTTTTTTTTCTGGGGAAGGGAGGTTTATTATTAATCTTTTTAGACAGTGTTTGATACTCAGTGCTACATAACTGTAGTAAAAACATCTTTCTTTCCCAAAAAGGTGCATTTTTTTTTTTTACTGGTGGAAGGATGCTGAGATGCTGAGAAGAAATGAAAGCATCAGAAGAGCCATCATGTCGGCAGCCCTTTTGTTCCATCCCCCATTAACCTCCATCATAAAGCAATGAAAAAATAAACCTTCAAATTTCCAACAATTAGAGATGATGTGCGTCCGGTGTGACATCTCAGCAGTCGGCCATGTAGCGCCCTGTAACACACAGACATACACGCTAATCTCTCGGCATGTATTCATTCTTCCAGTGACTAAACTGATTCATATACAGTTATAGTAGATATTTAGAATTAGATTATTTGTAATATGCTTTTGGCCACTTTCGTAGAAACACCTACCTTGTTGGAACACCTTAAGATGTACAGTTAGAGACTATAACTCATATTTTCCAAGTGCAGTATGTGTTAGTTATCTTCAAGTCCAGGAATAGACACTGACTGTTGGTCAGCGTCCCTGGCCACAAAATTAACATTTCACTATAAATGTACAGCTTTTGGCTCAAATGGCCATTTGCCTTGGATATCTTTTCTGTTCATTTTCTCTTTTGACAAATCTGTTTGGTCAGACATGGAACTAACAGCATTAGATCAGATTTTGTTGGAATTTGTGAACCGTAACTACCGGAATGGTGTGATGTGATGGTGGTGTGGTGACCAAGGTGGTCCCCCTGCTGAGTTGGTCTGCCTGGCATCACAGATGCTGTTAAGTTTGGAAATATCACTCAATGAAACAGAGTATCAACAAATACAGTATCAAAAAAGGTTCTATGAAAGGTTCTATGATTATTTTTAAAATGCCGTTTTATGAACCACATAAAATAGAGTTCCCATTTAACCATACAAAGAACCATTTATGCATTCATTCGTCTGCTAAAGAACCCTTGAGGAACCGTTTTTTTAACAGTGTAGATCAGATGACGGACCAGCTCAGCAGGGGGACCACCCTGGACCACCCTCTCCACATTGGCGATGTTCTTGTTATATGTAGAGTTTTAATAAATATTTCTTTTTTAAATGTTTCTATTATTGTGGCCACAAATTCTTAATTATGGCTCCAAGATTCATTGGTTGTTGGCCAGTGCAATTTCTGCATTTTTATATCTGTCTACCGTTGCTCTAGTCCTTCATCAGTGGCCAGTTTCTGGCCTCAGGACACTGTTGTCTGGATATTTTTGGTTGGTGGACTATTCTCAGCTCAGCAGAGACACTGAAGTTTTTAAAAACTCCAGCAGCACTCCTGAGAATGATCCACCACCCAAATAACATCCCAAAACGGAGGTCCCTTTCCAATGATGGGCAGAGGGGGGCTGATAAATTTAGCAACAGGTGGGCTGAAGTCAATAACTGTAAACCCATGTGGTAGATGTTTCTGATAAAGTGGCCAATAAGTATAAATGTAAGGGAGGTGTACCTAATAAACTCAGAGTCTTACTAGCACTGTTCTTGTGCAGATGTTGGAGGACTGACAAAAGCTTTGATAATGGAGGTCTTACCAGAGGCGAATCTCTTCTTGTTAAGCGAGAGTCGGTAACCAGAGCCAACCAGTTCCATGTCCACACCAGAGAGAGTGCTGCCCTCGTTGAAAAACTGGACAGCCAGAGTGGCTGGGATCGAGGGGCCGTCTGATAGCTCAAACTTTGCCCTCAAAGAGCCAGAGCCTGACACACACACACACACACAATAGTGTCAATTTATATAATATAAATTCACCTCGCTCAGTGAAATGTTGCTGCTACACCTATAGGAGATTGTGCTGAATAGCCAGTTGTCTCTTATTTCCAAAGGATGATTTCATATTATTTAAAGGGGCAAATGATTCATTCTCATTTCCAAAATTTAAAGGCAGGTTCTTCCACTTTTGCTAATATGAAGTACTGGAAACATGCAATTCATGTGTGCATTTACCTCTCACAGGGGCAGATTTACTAATGCTTTGTGCCATTACAAAATATACTACTATAGTAACATCAATGGGGCAGTTGCTGCTCTTTTGCCTCACTGCATATGCATTTATAGATGTTTCCCTCTCAAAGCACAGAATACTGTGAGGAGATTATTATAATGGAGCACCCAGTCCAATTTACCAAGACTGATGGACACTAGCAGATACTCACTATTTAACACCTGAGAAAAGCTTGTCTTATTTTACTGGCAAACATGGTTGCTATTGTTTGCATTCAGAGAGAAAAGAGAGACTTTTTCTAATGTTTATTTATTTTAGATGAAAAGGAAACAAAACTACAACTAAACAATTTTAGAAATACAATGTCTTAAACTGCTATTTCCTCATCCGTTTGGTATATTTTACAACACTATCAAAATGTCTTGAAAGCGGGTTTGCCTAAACAATGATCTGACAGTTTTCTTTTCCAAACTATTGTTAAAAGCACATGTTGAAACTGGTTTGGCTATGCAATCACTGCTTTACTAAAACTACACTTTACTTCATTACTACGTGTGCACTGAGGATTCTGTCCACTATGGCAGAAATGTCTTCCTATGATGCCCTTCATGGAGCTTCAAGAGTTTACGCTCACCACAAGTTCAAAACAATACAGTTCCAAAACGAGCAAGACGCATGGAGGGAAATCTCTGACTATTATGTCAAAATAATAACTTATAATGTCAGAAAAATCCCACACTAGTAATAGTACTAGTGGACTAATAATAACGCTTTTCCAAGTATTGTTTTGACTTGCTTACTAGTTTGAGTTATTAAAAAAAACAATTTTTCTCCTATGTGGCAGGAACAGGCTCTCATATAAAATGTGTTATATTGTGGTTATACTGAGATGCTCATATGCTAATTACAAAGTTGCACATGTGTTTATTTACATGAAAGTTCTTAGTAGTTAACTATTATTATAATTATTTCAAAATCGAAAAAGATGGCCACCAAATAGGTGAACACAGTGCATGATTTTCAAGGCATCATTCATTAAATGTGAAACCATCTACCTAACAATTGATAAACGTCAAAAAGTGTTGCTAACTAGGAGAGAGGAGCTGGTTAGCATTAGCTTAGCTAGCATAACAACAGCTCTGCTCACCACAGAACATGTTCACTTTCAGTTAACTAAAGCACTTACACAAGTCAAGATGGTAATGACTCAAATCTGAGGGAGTGAAGTCGAGCAGCTGGCGTTAAAACCTTAAACCTTTTCGGTGGTGTTTGGACCTGTAGCCTGATTGGCTAACTTAGCATTAGCTTAGTGAGCAGCCTACAGACCCAATCAGTGCTGCCTCCAAAGGACAGGCTTGATTTTGACCAACTGGTGCTCTGCTGAAACAAGTACAAATGATAAAAACTAATGTCTGAGAAAGCAAAGTCAAGTGACAGAAAGCTGAAATCAAAACTGTTCTGTGGCGTTTGGGACTGTAGCATTTTGGCTGTTATGTGGTGTGTAGCTTTTAGCCGTTGCTGAGCCACTGCTTAGTTTTTCTGAGTTTTTTCTGGCTCTGATTTTTCCCCCTCTTTCTTTTTCTGGCTCAGGTTTTTCCACTTTGTCTTCAATATTGTGTGGCAGTTAATGGATGACTTCTATCTTTTTATTATTAGTAGTAGTTTTTAATTGATGTCTTCCAAACAGAACATGAGCAAGTCCCAATGATAGTACTTGACAGTAGCCAATACTTTTATACCTTCATTTTCAGATTTCTCAGAGATGTCATTCAGCTTCCATAATGATTTGTTCTGCTCTGCATTCCTGGTAAAAAAAGAAAAATGAGCAGAATGAGTAAGTGACAGAGAGACAAAGAGGAAATGGTGTGAAATGTCCAATCGTACTGCTGCGCATTCCTCTCACTCACCAGATGGCGCTAGGAAGTGACTGCATGTTGGTGACGCCACCGTTGACCGGCACTAGGACCTGCACGCTGGTAAGTGGCCCAGGTGGCAGCATGGCCTCAGGATTGTAGCGGTAGTCAACACGCAGGTCAGTCGTGCTGGACCCACACTTCCAGTACACTGCGAGGTTCAGTGGCGTCGACTGAATTCCGTTTGAACACACCTGTGATAATGAACATCAGGAACATAACATTCACAGCAAATGTTTGGGCACATATCATGGAAAAATAATTTTTCTTGCTTTTATCTAAATAAAAGAGTTTGCTTTTGTAGGTTAACAGTGTTAAAGTTTCAAAACATACCATTCAAATGAAACTCTTGAAATTAGATTACTAATTTCAGTTCTGACCATCTACAATTGTATTGGCTGACGTTATTAGTTATGGGAATTTTTTTCTCCTTAAAATTGGTATCAGTGACAAATATTTTCATATTGGTCAAGCCCTACTTTCTACAGGAATAGTTTAGTGCTATCTTTGAAGACAACAGCAGTACAGGACTATGGTACACACCTGGTACTTGAGGACGTCCACGTTGTAGTAGGAGGACGCAGGGTTCTGCTCTGAGCATTTCCTGAGATATGCTGTCAGTGCAGGCATGTTCAGCCAGAAGTCCTTGGTGTTAGTGTCACTCTGGGAGGAGTCACTGCACGACACACACACACACACACACACACACACACACACACACACACAGGTTTACACAGACACTCAATAATTCATAGCTGCTGTTGGCTGTGTGTCTCTGCTGCAGCACAAAACCACTGACCCTCTTCCAGACACCCACCTACTGAATTATATTAAATTATAATTCCCTCCTGATTCAAAAAGCCATGTCTGGACTCTATTAGCGGCAGGCCAGAGCTAAAATGAGAGAGAGAGAGAGAGAGAGAGAGAGAGAGAAAGAGAGAGAGAGCAGGAGAGAGGCGCTCCAACTCCTTTTGAGGGAAAGGAATTCACTCATTATTAGAAGCTGCACTAAGGATGTCAATGATTAACCGATTAAAAGTTATCCAACAAATACATTCATTTTAAGCTAATTTAATTAAACTGTATTTTGAACAGGTGGGTTTTAAGTCGACTTGAGGATTGTTTTAGTGTTGTACGCATGACGGCGCAAAAGTGCCACTTGTTCTGGTAGCTCTACTTAGTGATGACCAGCTTCGGGTTTTCTGGAGTTCAACTCCAACTCCCGACTCCTGAACTCCACCTACGTTTCACTGACAGCACCAGATGCAACTTTTAGTATACAAACATAAATAAAACATGAAATATAAATTATTGCTTCTGCACAGGCCACATTCAGTTTTTTCCCCCCAATGTGTCCAATTCAGCAAATTACATTACATTACTGTTATATCTGTTATGTGCTTTATTCATTAAAGCTTTAAAGCCTTTTTTACACAAAATGCAAGTGCGATTTTTGATGCTTTCATGGGTCACATCCGTGATTTTAAGTTTGTCAGATTAATCGCAGACTGATGACGGCTGGTTATTGGTCAAATACATTAGTCTCCCTAACCTGCAGTCCATTCTTACATGATTGAGATCATGTGACCTATGTACAGCAGTATGCTCAAGGCATAGCAGAGCAATTGCTCAAACTAAAAATCTTAATTTAATTTAAAAAGGCTCTGATCAACTATTCAGTCACTGACCAAAACATAGGTACATGCACCTACTCACATATGGTACTGTGCAGAAGTCACAGACCACCCCTTCGTTCATTCCAGTCAAAAGGGCCAGGAAGTACAAAGGGTTGCAGGGTACTGTAGACTATAAAATGACCCTAATAATCCTATCCTTCTTTACAATTGTCTGTATTTAATTATATAATGATAACAACATTTGGTTAATGTATAGCTCAGCGTCCAGTAATGCAAAGAGGATTGAATGCAAGAGCATCAGAATAAACAGTGCTCACTGTTATCAAATGGGGCTCTCAGCTGTAACTCAACATAAATGTGAAAATATTTATGTATGTTCAAATAGCGGAATTCATTTGGGTGCCCATCACACATGCATGCACACACATACACACAAGGAGTGTAGCCGAGAGGGGGTCTAGTAGGTCATTCGATAAAAGGTCCAAAAAAATGCAAGAAAACCCACAAAATATTACATCATGCAAGTGCAAAATCACTGCCATATTATCTCGGAGCTGAAATAGCCCATCAATAACTTGAGTATATTACAATGATTAAGGTTATATTGCCAAAGTATTCATGCAGTTACAAATCACTAGATTCAGGATCTGTGGTGAAGTAACGCTAATTAACTACTGGCCAGAAGGTAGAACAAGTATTGTTTTGGTTATGTGTAAATGCAAACGGCATGGGTTGTTCAGAAAACACAAAAAAACCTGAAACGGTCAGCTTTCCCCCTCAAATATAAGAAGAGCAGGTGAGTCTACTTCAATTCTATCTCTCTTCCTAGTTCCATCACATACAACAAATGAATAACGTTTCAGGGTCCAAAATACCCCCCAGCAAGAGTCAAATGCATGTGGATTTTCTGGCTAGCACTAAACTAATCTTTAGCTACAGTTTGATATACTGCATCTGTGTCCTTGTAAAGCTCCAGATGCTCCCCTATCATCACTATAAAATAGTGTAAAACATGATGGAAAGTGTTTCAGTAAAGAAAACTTCTAGCTGAATATAGCAGTACTATTCACAGTTATAACAGGCTACTGTTCTTGACAATGATCAACCCATGACAGATTTTGCTTCAGTTAGCAACAGAAAAGTGTGAAACTGTTTTTTGCAGAAATCACTGAAACATACTCAATATACACTGATGAGCAAAAATATTGACCACTCACAGAAGTGAATAATGTCTATCTGGGTGCTGCTGGTCAGCAATTGAGAATACCTGCCAACAGCGGGCTGAAGAGGGACAAACCACGAACCAGCAACAGGGCGCTGGGGACCCAAAGCTCATCAAAGCGTGAGGGCAATGAAGGCAATCCCATCTGGTCGGAACCAACAGAAGGACTACTGTGGCGCAGAATTTTTTAATGATGGTTATGAAAGGAATGTGTATCGCAGCCTGCTGTGTATGGGGCTGCGTAAATGAAGATCGGTCAGAATATCAACGCTAACCCCTGTCCACCGTCAAAAGCGCCTACAATGGGCATGCAAGCATCAGAACTGGACCTTAGAGCAATGGAAGAAGACCACTGCTAGGAATGGTTTGAGAAACATGATGAAGCCAAGGTGGCCTCCATCATGATCACTCCAGGTCACAATGCTTTGGCTCATCGGTGTACTACCTATGATTAGTACAGGAGGATGTATATTGTGTACTGAACGTTGGTCGAGGTCAGGGGGGAAAACCACCCCCGTCTGATTGCAGTGGTTACAAACTCAACAGTAGCATTAACTGCTGACCTACGTAAAGTGCACTTTTGGGGGAAAAAAAAAGAACCTATCCCTTCTAGTGGGCTGGCTACACCCTTACACACTAATATAGCTTTACCTGTGTAAGAGATGCTGGTTTGGTAAGATTTGCTCCAGTTTGCTGGTGTTTCTCAGTTTAAAGCTGAGCACTGCTGGGGAGGGACTGGACGTGAAGATCTTGATGATGCCACTGGGGAAGGACAGCGTCATATCTCCAGTAATCTTCACTATACACCTAAAACACATACAGAGGGTTACTCAAATCTGCACTTGATCCAAACATAATCAGAAGAGGTTTTATGACACAGCCAGTGGAAGAGAAAAGGTACAATTTGCATTATTAACCCTTTAGTGATATACAAATTATCAATAATTATTTTGTATGGCAGAAATTCTGTAATTGATACTCATAACTCATAAGTTATAGAACTTGAAATATTAACATAACATTTCGTTTTTTATAATAATACAGCATATTTTTTTGTTCTAGCACCATTTTAAAAATGGCCTGCCCCTCCCTGTCACATGGAAACAATAGTCTATGGTTCTCATTTTGCATGTTAGTGAAATTCCCCCTTCCTGTCAAAGTAGGTGGCTGTTGTCCCCCAATCAGTGACAATACATACCAGACTCTCTTGATGATAGTGGAGAAGGCTGACTCTATATGAACACTGACTACAACTAGTGCAAGCATCAGTGTAAATCAAGACCACTGTACAAAGCTACACTTGCTGCAAAAGCTGGACAAAAGCAGCTACTAACAGGCTCTCTTTACTTGGTGTCTAAGTTCTAGTAGCCTGACCAGGTCAGCAGACAGCTGAAAGCTATACATACTCCAGTAATATTCAGAGGCAGGATCTAACTTAAAATGTTTACTTTAGAACTCATCTTGCACAGTAAAATATTTATAGCCATATTTATAATGCCTTATGAATACATTATAATGTACTGAATGTGCTCATATATTCTTCTAGACAAGGTATACATAAAAAACAAACCTTGCAGACGCTACAGAAAAGTTTGATTCAGCTGGACCTCTGAATCAGTTTGAGCAATTCATTGAAAGGAAGGAACCAGTTCAAAGGAATGATTCGCTCACAAATCGACTTTCCCAAGTTTAGTAACAATAAAAGGTGAACACTGAAGCTGAAACTGGGCCCATAAGGGAGCAACAAGGACTTTTGTAGTTTAACAGTGCCCAGTCTGTACTTCCACTCCACAGATTCTGGGTCTGTGCATCTCTACATCGCCTTAACACTCAGTATTAATCACACTGATACCCTTACAGTAAGCCAGACCTTGTGCTTCTTGTAAATGTAAGTCACAGACTGTCTCAAAGGTACTTAGAGTCAAAGTTATATTACAAAGTTATAAGAAATATATATACACATTAATACAATTTCATAGTAGATAAATGCTCCAAAAATTCCCAGCTGCTGCCTGCTTAGAACTGCGTGGGCATGTTGGACAATATGATTGACAGTGGCATCTCCCTGGCAACGTAAACAACCCAGTGCCACACGGCACCCCCTTGACTTTAGTGGACCACTATCTATCATGCTCTCGTAAATTAAGTTAATCGCTTACAGTAGAAACCTGTAACAGGTGACGAATGCAAGTAGGAAGCAGCGTCTAGCTACGCTAGAGACAACAGTGTAATAAACCTTAGTAACAAGCACCATTAACAAACGTAGAAAAGCTTAAATAACCTATTTTCTGGGAGTTTAGGCTGGAACTCAGAGGGACAGCAGTCACTTTATGTGAGGGAGAGGAAGGCGAGTACCTGACAGATACATATTGTTAACTTTGGAACTTTGGAGAAAATTAGTCCTACCACACTCAAATCTAACTGAGGAAAATGGCAGAAGAAAGTAATTTCTCTCAACAGAAAAGACGAACATCAATCTTTCTCTGCCAGTGAATAGTAAAAACATCACAAAAACTTTAGATAATAGACGAAAATCATGAAAATGAGTAGACAGAGGCTTTAAGGTTTCCACAGTCTTATATAAGTCTCTGTTTTTCTACAATAACAAAAACTTGGCTTAGCAAGCTATTAGCACCCCTTCCAACCTTTGGTATTTATGGTAAAGGTAACTCACAGGCTGTCTCAAAAGGTATTTGGAGTCAAGGTTATGTCCATTCACATGTTAAGCCTGCCCACTAGAATTTGCCCTGCTTGGTCGTTCCAGGGCAGGTCATGCGAAACTCACTTGCTGGGATCGGCTCCTTTGAAGTAGGCATTAACAGACTCAGTGAACGCCACAGCTATGGGCAATGGATCCTGGGAAGCTAAAGTCACTGGACTGGGCCCACGAGATGTCCCTACAAACAATGTATGAGATGACACAGTAAAAGAAAGAAACAGAGGATAGAAAAGAATCATTTCACTGAAGGTGAGGACACTTTTAGAAGAGACCTCGGTCAGCAGATCAAAGATTCTGGTAAAAAAAAACTTAACACATTAAAAAGCTGGAACTCTTCTAACAGCATGTGGTGTAAATTCATACATAAACATAAATAAATATAAATATCATATTTGCACTTTGTTCATAATGACTTGTACACCAATTTTCTCCCTTGGGATCCTAACAGGACTGCACAATACAGTACTTACAAATTATTAGAGCAATATTAGCCTGTGCAACACTGATATTGCAGTAGGCTGCATTGCAAATGAGCCCTCGAACAAATCACAGATCAGTGTTTTTGTGTTTATTGTGATCCTTTGGTCAAAATAATGCATGGCAGTATTTAATCCTGTCACATTATTGGTTTAAAATGTGTTTTAACATACAGGTGTATTGCAACTGCAATATTTAGCAACATAATCACACTGTGGTATTTTGTTCATATTGTGCAGCCCTAAATTTTAACTACAGATATTTATGTACACTATATGGGCATAAATATGTGGACATTCCTATTAATTATTGAGTTCAGCTGTTTCTGGTGTACACTGATTATGAACCAGGCCTTCTCGCCCAACTTCAGTGTCTGATCTCAATGCTTTTTTGACTGAATAGCCATGAATTCCCACAGACTCACTCCAAAACCTTGTAAAAGCCTTCCTAGAGGAGTCAAGGCTTTTATAGCTGCAAAAGGGGGGTTTGATGGGGGTGGGGTGGGGTTGGCAATTCCATATTAATGCCCATAGATTTGGAATGGGATGTCCAACAGGCTCAAACAGGTGTGAAGGTCATGTGTCCACATACTTCTGGCCACATAGTGTATTTAAACACATTTCACATGTTAATTTTAAATGCTTATAAAATCAAAATGCAAGCTGTTTAAAACATGCTCAGAACCAAGAACAAAGTTAAATGTGATGCAAGCAGATGATTTAAAAAGAGCTGTATTTTAGTGAACAAAATGACAACAGAACCTCCCAACACTGGTCATAAGAACTGCCTGACCGATCAGGGGAGTTGGTTAGTAGGTTATCAGGCAGGTTATCTTTTCTGTCTCATGTACTTTACCTGCTGGAGTCTCACACCTCTTCTCAAAGGTGGGCAGTTTTCCCACAAACATATCGTCCTCTTACAGCCCAACCAAAGGGTGAAATCCACAAATGGGAGATGAAAACAAACAAGGCGATACCGCAACCCACAGGTGAAGAATGAGAATGTAGTGAAAGGGTGATGAAAACATTTACAGATCAAAAAGGGCAAAAAAAAATACCATTCGAAATAATGGGAAACTGTAACTCACAACTCAGTTTTTGGCCAAATGCCTAAATTTAGAGGATGTTAATAATTTTGAAGGCTTTTTTATTTGTGTATGTATGAAACAGGGGTGTAGCTTTGAAGTGGGAATGCCTAGGTACCCCCCCCCAGATTTCTGACTATCAAAAATAATTCTCCAGTGCCAATGAAAATATTACACAATGTAAGGTCATCTTGGGTAAAAGTGCTGGGTTCTTGCATCTTCGTGCTTCTTTCCACCTTAAATAAATAAATGAGAATTTTTCAGCAGAAGCTATCAAAATGGCAGCGTTTACGCAGCTACATGTCTATCAGCTGGGCAAAAAGGCATGGTAAAATGCTTTTACACATGTAAGCGACATGAACTCTTTGACCAAACATGTCTTTAGCATTGGCATGGCGACAACCAAGATGACAGATCAACTGTATACCAGCAGCTAGAACTCAAAAGGATAAGAATTCCTAAAAGCAGTTCAAATGAGGCTAAAAGTGGGCTATGAACATCTGAATCATAGCCTATGTGGAGGCACTCAGAGTTTCAGCTTCTGAATGAAGTGGTGAAGGTCTTCATACTACTTTTACTTTTACAAAATGGACAGTAGCCCAGTGTCACCATCTGCTCTCACCTTTGTAAGGAGAGAAAGTCAGAAAGTCTGTCTTATTTACACTTGGTGGGCTTCATCTTGTGTGGAGCTGCCTTTCCAAAATCAGCTCAAACTGTGTTATGGAGATCCGAGCTGTCTGTTCTTAAAGTTTTAGTTCCTAAATGAAGCTAAGGAACTCTGTTCTCCTTTTGCTTTCCGAAGTGGAAAGCATCCTGCATAATGCCACAGTTTTCCCATTTCGTGAGAAGCAAAAAGGACCTTTTGACAGATATTCTGGTTGTTTTTTCACGTCTGAAGATTTTGCATTTTCGTGTCCTTTTTTGGCATCACTTTTGGTGTGTAGCAGCCTTTAGTCTTTGTTCTCTAATATCACTCTACTCTTGCTGTCAGCAAGCTTTAGTGACTGAGTCCTCTCCTAACGTAGCTTACCCATTTTTTTTGTCAGAATCTAAAGACTTCTGCTTCTATTTCTCACACTAAATTTACATATTTTGACAAAAACTGAGTCATGTGCATCACTTCCTCATTATATTGAATAGGATTTTTGCCAATGTTTTGTGCAGCATGTTCAACCTAGCAACAGTCACTATGAAAGAATGCATTTGGGGGCGGAGCATGGACAGGTCAAATGATGATTAAAAGAATTTGATGCTGATAAATGAAATGTGTGATCACATTCAAGTCACACCATGAGATTTACTGAAAATGTACAAGTTGGTATGATGCACCAGAATGTTACTGAATCTGTGTGTTTGTGTCTCACCAACAGTGGGCGTGTTGCTGGCGCTCAGGGAGGTGTTGGAGCTCAGGGAGGAGGAGCTTTCAGCCCGCGCCAGAGGAGCAGTGGGAGGAGGACTCGAGTTGGCCACTTTGGGAGGGCTAAACGGTCGCCCCTTTGGAGAGGAAAATATGAGGATAAAAGAAACAATTAAGAGAATTAAGAATCAAAATTAGTCAACATTCATCAGTAACTGTAGAGATGAATCATTCAAGGCGATGGTTTGATCAAAACTCAAATGTACACAATGCTCTCCTTCCCACAGATGTAATCAGTCAGCCAAGGCGTGGTTGGTGTCTAAAGTTTGCTTCTTTAATTTTGCACTGTGGCTACAAGGCTAATGTAGCTAATCAGTAATGGAAGCTTGCAGCCTTGCCCTGCATTGTGCAAACTACATGGCTGTCATAATTTGCATGTTAGTGTTCATTTTTTCGATATGGGGGCTGAATACAGTGACACTGAGCCACGCCACAACTTGAAGAATGGCCAATGTAAAACAATTACTATACATGCTGACCAAGAGGACACTTGTACAGCCTAAGGGCAAAAGAGCTGAGGCTCAATGCCCACTTGGGATCTAACCATGTAAGTGCCTATTTGGGGAAAAAATTTGTAAATTAGATTTTTGGTTTTAAGGGACAATGGCGCATGAAAGGTCTTGGAGAATGAAAGTGTAAGAGCACTCACAATCTCATTGATGCCGGTCAGTTTGCCTGCAGGTAGTTTCGGCCGTGATGAGGGTCGAGGAGGCGGCACTATGGTTCCGGTACCGAGAGGGGTTGAAGGCCTGTTAGGTGGTGGAACTGTGTGGGACACAGACAATATGGAGTTTAGGACAATCTGTGGCTAAACTACTTAATAAAACGAGTTCAATTTCAAGGCAGACTAGTAAACAAACATCTTGACTATGAAAACCTCATATGTCACAGGTAACCATGCCTCATAACCAGGGTTCAAACTGGTGAGAAAACATAACTTCACCCAGAAACATGCAACAAAGCATCTGATGACATTTTCACTGCACAAATTAACTGGATAACAAAAGTAATAACCAGCACAAAAAAAGAAAGCAAACCAAAGCAAACAAGGATTAATATTAAACAAAAACATAATTGATCACAGAAATTGCAAAAAAATTTAAAAATTACAGCAAAAAGAAGGAAGTAATTAATTCAGTTAAATGCCATGTATAGGAGAAAAAAAATCCTCTACCGTTTTTTCTCCTTTGGTTTCTGTATGTCAATATGTCAAACTCTTGAAATGCTTAGTATCATGCAAAATGCATTATTTTGAGATATGAATATTTTGAGAAAATAAGTCATTATTTTGAGATATTAAGTCATTTTTTTGAGGTATTAGTTTCATTACATCAGAATACTTAGAAATTAAGTAATTATGCTGACATACTCTTATCTAGCTTCCACAGTAGTTTGTCAAACCAAAATTAGAGTCATGTTTAGTTTAGAGATCTTTGCTAATATCTGAAAATTACAGTGTTTTCTCAGCTAAACTTCTCTTACATAACAGTTAGAAAATGTTTCCATTGTGTAAATATGTGGTTTATCACTATTATGACAGTTACGATATGCAAACAAACTCTGAACTATTAACAATGCAGAATAAAAAAAAAACACAAAACAGATAAAAGAAGAAATAAAAGCAGTCAAAATAAGGAAATAAAAATGAACAAGTTAAACCTCTCACTTTTATGTATACATATTAAATACTTCACGCTCTCATGCAGCAAAAAAAATAGCATGATGCTTGGAGACCCAAGATATGGTCAGCATCAGCATTACCATCCTGCGAGTGACCAGCTGATGGTGGTGCTCTGTGGTCCTCCGTCTGACAGGGGGCGCTCTCCTCTTTAGTAAAGGGGTCTGTAGCCTGGCTGGACATGAGCTGGGGCACAGGGACGGACTGAGGCCTCGGCGGTAAACGAGACGGCCCACGAAAAGGCACAAAGTCGTCATTAAAGGCCACCCACTGGCTCTGAGTCCAGGACGACAGCATGTCTGTGCCAGTAGCGGGAGCACTGAGCGGGGGCTTGTGGGAAATGATGTCCCCCAGGGTTGCGGGAAGGGTTGGAGGGACGCTGGTGGCTCGGGGCGGGGCTGGGGGAAGGGGAACGAAAGGCTCATCTGGGATGTCCCAGGGTGAGGTGGAGGGAGGAGAGGGGAGGGCAGGGAATGGAGGTGGGCTTGAGGAGGAGGGAGGCAAAGGAGAGGTCAGTTTGGGAGGTAAAGAGCCAGCAAAAGCCTCTTTTGCTTCAGGTTGGTCAGCCGGTGGAGATGAACGCTCCTGCTGAAACACCACCTCTGCTGCATGGGGCGCCAAAAAGAACAGAGCATCGTAGAACGGTAAACGCAAACAAACCATCCTTCCAAACTGCTTAGAGGGAACATTCTGAGGAGTGTAAACTTCTGCTGTTTGATTTGATTACAATTCTTTAGGAAACAATTCAATTCAAATTATGTTTTAAAAATACACTACTATAAATGATGGATTTGCAGATTCATGGGATAAAGATGGAAAAATATACACCAAATGTTTCTTTTCTTATTTTTCCTAGGGCTGTCAAACATTAATAATGAGTTAATGCAATAAATTTAACAATGCTGATCTTTTTAATTCATTTTCCTGACCATTCAAGCTGTCCGCAGTAGTGCAGGCTGAAGACCAGCTGATCATGCCCTTGGCTACACTGTGCAGATTTCGATAGAATCCACGACTGTAGCTCTCTTGTATAAATGGCTTTTAAAGCAATACCTTCAGCAACTTCAGCAGACTATACTGGGAAGTGCTCACAGCAGACCTATGGATAAATCAATGAGCAGCAAACTAACAAAAAACAACAGCAAAGTATGTAACCTGAGAGCCTCCACTGTAACAAGAGTACACAGGCTGTACGAACAAGAGCAAAGGGCTACAATCACAGAGGAGTTGGAAGTGACTGTATGTTCTACTGAATTATCTCAAACTGTAGTCCCACAGCAAAAAATACTAAACATATATATGTATCATCATTTATTGGGTATTTTCTATTGGAAGGTGGCTGTCCCAATCCCTAGTGAAAATAATGCTTACTTTTTTGTATTTTTTCAATGTTTTTCTTTTGCATCTTTTTGATTTTTTTTTTTAAGTAGAGTTTTAGTCCATAGGTGGAGCTTTATTTTGGCCACACCCCTGCATTTTAGAGCAGGAAGTGAGACTGCATCCCTGTCCCTCGTGGCCATACGACGAGAACTTGATCCCATTGTTTTGAAGTAAATTGTCCCAAAATCTGAAAATCAGTGTGTAACATTAAGAATGGTCACTACGAAAACACACATTCTCTGCAATTAAGTACACTTTTTTGTGTTTTATTGAAAATATTATGATTTGTACGACTGTTCAAAGCTGTGTTTGCTAGTCATGTGCTGGCTAGCGTTTTTGAGTTTTGCTTAAAATTTACTAAAATTATCACTACCAAAACATCTGGTGACGTTTCAGAAGTGTTATGATTGTTAAAAGTCTGAAACAAGTTCAAACCCTGAACTTTGAACCAGTTGGGTAGAATGATCCATATATTGTAGTTGTATACAACATGTGGGCACCCCAGTCAAATTACACTGTTTGCTGATTTTCCAAGTGAAAATAAGTACACATCCTCTGCAGAGCATTAACTTCTGCACGTTTTAATGCACTGTTTATCTGAATTATTGAAAGTAACAAATACATTGAAGCTTGTGAAGCTTATTTTGTCCATGCATACAGCTACAACAAAAAGCACTGCTTTTTAAATGGAAAGAAATCCTAGCATAGAGACTAATTTGAGTAAACAAGACAAATGCAATGTCTTGTGATTAACAACACAAAAAATGTGATTAATCGCATTGACTGTTTATTTTAATCGTTTGACAGCCCTGATTTTTATAAATATTATTTTCAAAATTTTAGCCGAAAATGACTGTATATTTTGTATTATATTACTAGAATCTATTGTAATCAATTTTAGAAATTTTAAAATCAACGCAGTTCAGGTCTTGATGCATGTTTATACCCTATTCCATCTCATCATGAAAAAAAATAGAATTTCACACTTCTCAATTTTGTTTTATATGAAATTAAATGCAAATACAAACAAGCCTGAAATCAAATGTCAATCTTTTGTAAGTTAAATAAGTTGAAATAGCTGCCCCACCAATAAAAATGTCCCTAAAGATCACAATGGCCCCCCCCAAAATATTACTTCTTAGAATCCAAAACACCAAGCAAGTCAAGTGGATTAGATTTATATACTGCTTTTTGGTAAAGCAGACATAGTCACAAAGCAGCTGTGGCACCCATCATGCACAGTCAGCATCTAAACTAATAGACCACAACTGCATGCCACACTTTACAATGAAGACTCAAAACATCGTAACTTTTTTTAAGAGCTCCTACACGGCATGTAATAGCATTAGATTCAGTTGAGTACAGCTGAGTGCTTATCTGCTCTGAGTGCTTAAAAGAGAAGGCATGCACACATTGTCCCTCACACACTCTGAACTGCGCAAGACCTCATCTGAGAGGCCATGGGGATCTTTAGGGAGAGACTGAGAAAACTAAGGATGAAGAAAAGAAACATTCACAATCTTATCTAAAGTTAGATTTAGCGGGGTCAACACACTTTTGGCCAGTTAGTGCTCAAGCATATTAGGACATCTATTTGTTTTACTTAAAATAAATTAAAAAAAAAAAGAAAAAGAAAAAATACAGGCAGGATGCACTTGCATTACCTGGGTCCTCAGAGACCTTATCATTTAGATGGAGAGAGGGAGATGGAGAGAAAGGTGAAAGGAAGAGAGAGGCCAGGTCTGAGGGGGAAAAAAGGGAGTAAAGAGCAAAAGAAGAGCAAAGGAAAAAGGAAAGGAAATACCAAAAAGACTTCTACTATTAAATGTTACAATACATACTGGAGAGAAAAGAACTTAAGGCACTATGTATCTTCATTTTTACATTATATGCTCCAGGGCTGCATGTAGACTTTTTGAGCCTGTAGTAACTTTTTGAGCTTGAGCTTGTAGTGGTGCTAGAAAAGCTGCAAGTGTTGTAGCACTAATTAAAAATACTGTAGCACTGAGATAAAAAGTCCATAATAATGCAACCAAAGGTTTTTATGCAAACAAATGGTCGAATTCAACAGTTAAATAGCTAAAAGGCTAAAAACATTCTGAACATTCTGAATTTTAGCACTCAATTTGTGAAATGTACAGACAATTCAATTCCTCTACAATAATTTATATTTCCCATAAGTGTGAGGGATTAACACTGCAGTGCGCCACTGAAAAGGAGGAAACCTACAGCATAAAGGCACATATGTTTTCAGAGTCAAATATTAAAACGGGAAGCAAAGTATTTGCAGCATTTCATCGCAAAAACAATTACAGTCCACTTCCAAGAATTTAATTTTATTTTTTCTTTATGTAAGTTGCTGTTGCTGTGGGCTTTAAAAAGATAAGAATTGTGCTGTTCAAAAAAATACACAGGCTGAAGACAGTGAAGCAGGCAAACAGTAAAGTCACTGACCATGGCTTTTCATAAGTTCCAAAATGAACATGTTATGGGCATTTTGCACTTTGTATGGTCTTTATTCTTCTTGAGGTTAATGCTCAATCATTTCTGCCACTACAAACATTTGCAGTATCTTTAACTACCTGATGGACTACAACTACCATAAACACTACAACCTAACCTGCTTCACTGTCCCCTTGAGCAGTTGGGAAATGTTCAAAACCAATTAGTGATAACAGTTCACTAACTGCATGACAGACAATAATTACCATGGGCTATACAATCTGCAATATGTAAGTTTTGGGGATCTGGAGACCTTCTTTGGTGTCAATGTGTAATTGCATGCAAAGTGCAAATGAACATTTTCTAACATCGTGCTTGGACCCCTTCCCAGAGCGGATGAATCTGATGACTGCGAATGAGTTGAAAGAGAATTCAAAGAGAACACAGTTAAAACTTGGTGACCAACGTGTCCTCTGAGGATATAAGTGAATTATGTACTTTTGTTATCATATCTTTATCAGTTTAATGTTGATTTTGCATTTAAGATCAATACCGTATATTCAAACCTGTGCACGCAGCGTAAAGACGTAGGGTAGTATCATGTCCAATCCAACACTAACATTTTACACTAAATGAAGAGGACAACTTTAAGGGAAACAACAACCTGATGTAAATAAGAACGACAACTTCATGTAACTGAATCGAGCCTACATTAGTGGTTAGCCTGCATCTGCAAGCTAAAGCAAGCTATAACTTAACATGCTCTGTTGCCATTACAATGTTTTCAACTCTTTAGCTGTACACTGCTTATGCAAATAACACCTGACTGACATTTGAAAATTTCAAACAGTGGCCAATCAGTTCCAAACATCATGTGTCTAATACATCATTTGGATATAAGCAATACACTTCAAACACACTACTTAGTGTCAAACTGGCAAGTTCACTATAGAAGACCTGAATCTGAGACATAAAGTTCAGGAAAATCACGATCGGAAAAAAAAAAGCCTGCTATCTCCTCACTCCTCCAATCTCACTGCTGCTCTTTTCACTCTCCATGCTAGGTCACCACATTAACAAGATCATGTTTGACAATGTCTGTGACATAAGGTCCCCAAGCTCCGCCCTCTGACCTCTGGAGGTGCCAATTAACTCTGGATTATGATTGGCCCGTGTAGCCAAGGTCATAGCTAGACAGACAGCTCAGCTCTCGCCTACCAACTGTGCTGAACAGACCGTTCATGAGAATACTGCACGCTAACCTCTAAACACTGCTCTCCAGCAAACAAAAATAGAAGTGAGTAAAATGATAAATAATCCACAGCAAACAACTATTTACATTAATCCTTTGTCAAGTTATCTGCCTTAACTATGTATATGTATGTATGTATGTATGTATGTATGTAGATAGGTAGGTATGTATGTACACTGGTCAAATTACATGTTACATCCTCTACAGAAATCAAACAAATACGACGTTTCTCAGCAAATTTTATTGCACAATTTCTATTTATTTGTTGAGTTTAACGTATTAGGCAGAAAAAAAGCAAAATAAAAACAAACAAACACGTGCTACAACTTTTGCACAAGTTTGTTGTTGCATATTCCAAGAAGCTAAATTCAACAAATACATAGTAACTGTGCATTAAACTCTGCATAAGTGTGTTCTCTGTAGAGCATGTGTTAACAGAACATTTGCATGTGACTGTGTACTAGAAAAATGGTGGGTAATATGATTATCATTATCTGATAAAGTAAACTAGAACCACTGCACTCAGTTTTTATAGCCTTTTTAAATGCAGCATTAACATCTTGCTGGTGCATTTTGTCCATTTCAGTTTGTTCTCAAGCCTCAGAAAAAATGAAACATGATGCATATTTTGCACTGTGGAAATGTGTTCAATATGTGCTTTTGTCAAGTTTTGTCTTGAAGAAATGAAACCTTTTGACAACCTATGTGGCCTATGTATGAGGCACGGGGAACAAAAAACCATAGGACAAATCAGTGTGACGTCACAACAGCACAGAACTAACTTGCAAGTGGATAGTGAAGGTAGTGCTGCTCTGGTACAACAGGATTTTGTACTAATGCTGGGACTTATTTAACGATGAGACTGGGAAAAGAACTTGTTTTACAACTAATCTTCCCAGGTTCAATAACTTCACAACTTTGTGTGGTTAATTTTTTTTTCATAGAATTATGAACTTGCACCAGCCACATATTTCATTACAGGGTTTAATATAGAGGTACCTACACATTCAAAAACAACAACTGAACCAAACACGAACAAACTGAACTTATGGTTCTAGTACTTGTTCATTTCCCAACTGCTTGAGAGACTGGTACAATTATACTAACCACCATTTAAGATTTAACAGTGTTTGGTCATTTTATGTCACTCTTAAGTGTCTAACTAGGCTAAATAGCAAGGTACCATTTTTTTTGCCAGTAAACTTATTAACTAAAATGTAACAATATATTATAATGATATAATCTTTTCATAGTTTAACACTTTTCCAATAAAAGTGCATATACATATACGTGAAAATCAATTGACTATGACCATATACTACCCCTGACCTACTCCCTGAGATGTCGAATGAATGCGTGGAATTCCCAGGAGGAGGAATTACGCTTCATTTCAGCAGTCAAGGTCAATAGCTCAGAGTGCTCGGATCTTTCACATACAAAGCAAAAACAAAGGCAGAGCAGCTGAGAGAAAAAAAGATCTCAATAAAAAGAAGCAAACAAAAACAAACAATAAATCAAAAAATGTAATATGGGCTAACTGTAACCCAGTGACCATGGCATAGTGAATGTACATTGAGAAAAAAAAAAATCAATTGTAGAGGCAGTGTGGGGGAAATAGGGGGTTTCCGTGACAACAGCAGCCTGAGCAAGCTCTCTTGAGGCAAATGTTGTGGACAGGAAAAGCCCAGACACTTTCACCAGCCTGTACACAGCATCAATAATGGATAAGGTCAGTACTAAGACAAGCCTTGCAGAGGCTGAGGGGTGGAGGAGGGGAGAGAATGAGTTACTATCTATATGTACAGTAGTATGTGCGAGTGACCTCTTTGCAGGGACTATTTGAGGACTAGTCTGGCTTTTATTTGAGGAAAGAAAATGTATTTTGTCAAAAAATTTGAGGCACAGCTCTTGGCAACATTAAGAAACAACCCTACATAATCCTTGCAAAACAAAACAAAGATACAACATATAAGTCAGCAGCCCCCAGTAACGGCAAAATCTCATTCACTGCCTGTTTATTTATTGACTTTATTGGTTTACTGTGTCATGCAAATCATCACAAGACACTAGTATTCCCACACAGGAGCATCACTTTTTGAACACTGGCCGATATCCTACATCATCTTTCATTAATACCACAGATACTGTACCTAACATAGATGCATTAAGACAAATATCATACGTACAAAATTCCACTTACATGGAATGATGCATATTGTAACACTTCCTCAGACCACAATGTGATGTTTCAGACATCAGGTATCAGAAAAACACTTATGTCTTAAACCTCGTACAATCAGGTACGCTAAGTGGCCACAGAGACCACAGCATCAGACAGAAAACTTTATATGTCATTCAAAATTCTGTACTCTATTAGTAGATTAATTACAGTTTCATGGCCAAAATGGCTAAAAGTGATAAACTACAACCACAACTGCGCAGGTATTATTATTATAATCATTATTATTATTTTATTTATTTTTTTAATTTCACAAGGATTTAGCATCAGCTTACATGCCATCACTGTGTTTACTCCTGCGTTCACTTTACAGTTATGGTCCATCTCAAAATTACTGGATGAAAAAAGTGTTGCTATGATTAGCAGCAGTAGTAGTATCTCTGTAAGTACATCTGCTGATGTTTCTGGACTTCAGTAATGTAGTAGTAATGAGTTCTCACAAAGATGATGATAATAAGAATAATAATACTAATAGCAACAGTTTTTTCAGGTCATTTTGAGACTGGCCCTAACTCTGAAGCAGATGCAGAAGCAAAGCACTGGCTGTTAAAGTTGCAGCTCTATCTTGGTTAAGGTAAAGCCCCTTCTCCAGAAACCGGCTTGACCGTTTATCGCAGTTATTAACCCTAATATTGAGAGATAAGATTGTCCCTAAGATTGTCCCTAATAATAGGATACTGTTGCCGAGACAGGCCTGACTCCAACTGAAACGTCAGCTAAACAGTTTTAAATTTCAAAATGACTTTTCTGCAGTTAGCTTGCATTAATTGATATCAAATAATATGAAATGCTTTTTTATTTCATGATGGTATTAGTCATGTGTGCTCTTGGCTGCCAGGGCTGAGGCTGAAAATGTTCTTGTTATGAAAAAAAAGGAAAAAAGGAGTTAAAAGTGAAGTTAGCTACTGAGAGATCTTACCTGCTGAAGAAGATCCAGAGGAGGCGGAGCCACCAGCACTGGGGCCGAAAGGGTCCAAAGAAAGCAGGTCATTATTCGCCAACCTACTAGTAGATTAAAAGAAAAGGAGGCTAATGGTTAACAATACTGGAACTGCAAGAGTTTCTTACTTGATGTTACTTGATCTTACTAATCTTCAGAAAAATAATTAATATTAAAGTTAAGAAATCAATATTTCTTTATTTGAAAGGTGCCATTCCATAAATGTCATTCCATATTCCAGTAGGGGAAACAAAAGGCTAACAAAAAAAGTATTACTACACTTTAAATGTGACATTCTCTTACTCATTATATGATGGTTGCTGCGTTCTGGATCTTCCCAACTCATCACCTAAGACAGAATTTGAACTTTAATCACCAGGAGCATTTAAATCTTTCTTTCATTCAATTCCCAACCAGTCTATTAAAGAAGCAAGCCTCATAACAAATGTTTCAAAAAGTAAATATGGCTGTTTTAGCTACCCAGAAACAGGGCAATTGACTGATGGAGACTTTAATATTTGACACGGTCTTGTTACTCTATGAAACATTTGCCTGAGGAAGATAAACACACCTGATACCACAACTTGCTGTGTCAAATACACACTCAATAATCCCTTACACCTCAACTGAATATGCAAATACATAAATATAGATATATGGTACTGCGCAAAATGGCTGTTTTGACTGGAAATGAAATAAACGAAGGGTGGTCTCTGACTTTTGCACAGTGTTGTATATATAAATACATAAAATGTAAAAATAAATTTGTAAGTTGCAGGTAGAGAACGTCCTGAACAAGGTCCATTAAAGGCCAGTGCAGACAAGTTAAAGAAACAGTTCAGTCAAGAATGCTAGTGTTGGTAACAATGAATTAAAGCGAATGGCCACTAATTAGCATTATGCATTATTTAATTATTAACTATGCATAATTTTATTCACATTTGCATATTTGGTCTATTCTTTTCATTGTGGAAATCCACTGAGAACATTTGACCACCCTGGACGTATGCATAAACAGCGCATATACAACTGGACACAGAAGTGTGTATTTGAAACCAGCTTTTGAATAACCTGATCAGTTTAGAGTCACCATATTACACTGTTAACAGAATCAGATTAAACAGCTGCAACAGAAGAAGTACTGACTATTAGTAGTAGCTGATACTTCTTGAACTTAGTAAATCCCTTTTTGCCCTGAGATACCCAAAGTTAGTAGGCAAGTGCCTACACTCCGCAGCTTATACTTACCTCTCCTTGAATCTAAAGAAAAGTGTTTGGGTAGTCCTGTTATCCCTGGGTAGGTGTGAGATACATTTACAAATCACTCTTGGTGCTCCATAGCTTTAAGAAGCCCATAGTTGGCACATATTCATGTATAGATGCAGACTAAACTGGTATCACTTGTTTGATATTTGAACGTAAATCACAGAATATGGTAATATTAAATGTTGTAACTCATATACTTTGTTTCTCCTTTAAACTGATAGAACACTTTTATTCTTAGCTTTTGCATTGAGATAAGAGAAATTAGGTCTAAATAAGCTAAATATGCACACAAAGGCAGAACATATCTGATGAGAATAGTGGTTGGATGTTAATCACTTTTAATGTCAAGAACAGTTTTGGATTGCTTGTTACACCAGTCATTTCCATGTGGTTTTTCCCTCTTTTACTACTTCGATTTGACAGGAAAGTATAGAGGAAAACCATAAGAGAGCAGAAGGCTGATGACTGTAAGCCTCAAGTTTAGTCAGTGCCACGATTTGCAAAACTATAGTAGCACAATTTACAAAGTTAATGACCACCTTTTGTAACTACCTTGTACATGGTTACTATACTTAAGTATTATTTTGGAAATCTGTACTTTACTCAAGTATTACTGAAATTCAATGACTGTTTTACGCAATTAAATATGCAAGAGAAAAAACACTCTTTAGTCTATTTGTTCATTTTCATCTTTCAAGACCTTATAAATCTATAAAGCCATGAAATTCTTCTCTTTTCGTTTTGTCAATCGGTCAAATTCCCATACTTTTGAATTGGTTTTTATCAAAACATCCAGCCAAAGTAATATAACTGTAAAATGAAAAGGCCCACAGCTATGAAAATATATCTTTGTGCGAGGACTTCTACTGCTGACCACCAGTAAAAACTTGTAATGTTGTTAAACTTGTAAAATTTGTTAAAATATTTACTTTTTACATTTATATTCTTCAGTATGTTTAGCTGTAGACACATTCTGACTTTCAATCAAGTGCATTTTTGCTGACTCCATGCTTACACTTTTAACTGAATAAGACACCCTACCCAGACACCAATGAATTCCATAACAGTTTTTACTGAAAACATTAGCATATTCAAACGCCGAACGTGTGAAGTAGATGCATAAGCAAATGACCATCATTATTAGGGGTGTAATGATGACATTTGCCTTTCAATTTTAATGTCATGATTTAATTAGATTTTCTACACTGTACTGTACACTTTTCAAGTACTGTACAGTAGACATGGTCGATATGGAAAATGTTTAACATCACAATACATTAAGAATTTTTCATGATACACAATATATCACAATGTTTTTCCTGACATCTGGCAAGCAAAAAGGGGCCATTAGTGCCACAATTACGAAAGACTATCAAAAACGAATATATATGCACCAATCAGCCATAACATTAAAACCTTGTATTCACACTGACTGTTCATTTTATCAGCTCTACAACTACGAATGTAGTCTCTCTGTTTCCCTGCATACTTTGTTAGCCGCTTTCTACTCTGTTCTTCAATGGTCTGGACCCCCACTGGACCACCAAAGAGCCACACAGCAGTGCTACTGGAGTTTTTAAAGACGTCAGTGTCACTGCTGGACTGAGAACAGTCCACCAAGCAAAAATATCCGGCCAACAGCGTCCTGTGGGCAGCATCCTGTGACCACTGATGAAGTGGACAGTGAGTGGACACAGTGTTTAAAAACTCCAGCAGCACTGATGGTGTCTGAGCCACTCGTACAGCGCAACACACCTTAACACCATCCTGTCAGTGTCACTGTAGTGCTGAGAATGATCCACCACTCAAAAAAGTACCTGCTCTGTGGTGGTCCTGTGAGAGTTAAAAGGGGGCTAAGAAAGTACGCAGAAAAGCAGATAGAATTGTTGAACCACAAAGTGCAGCTATACGGTAAGTGGAGCGGATAAAACTGACAATGAGTGTAGATATTATTTAGATGTTATTATGGCATATGGCATTTGAGAACTGACAATCATATCATTCAAACAATACATTATATTGGCCAATATTATCAATTAGCAGAACTTTTATCCCCTTAAAATCAGTATCGGCCACAAAATTTACATATTGGTCAGGCCCTACAGCCTTCACACAAATTATTGTGGAATTAAGTGGTTTCATCTTGCAACCACAATAAAATTTCCTACCGCAAGACAAATTACAATATTTTATGGATACAAAGCTTGCAAAAGTTAAAACATTTGCTCTTCATATGAGAACTTTCTGGAATGTAAACACTACGTTCAGACATGCATCTGTGTCCGTTTAAACCACAATTTACCGGAAAAAATGTAAAATTATGATCACAGAGAAAAAACAAACATGCAATTAAGCAATTAATCTTGCTCATGACTTAAGGAGGCAACATTGAGTTGTTGAGAGGAGAGAGAAGGGGGGGTAATTAAAAAAAAGAAAGCAAGACTTTATTTTCTCGTGGGATGAGTTGGCTTTGGAGGGGTCGCTAGAGCAACATGAAGGAGAGGCTCGGCGAAAAGCGGCCCAGCCAAGAAAAACGAAAGGAGAGAAGTCAAAATGGCAAGCGCTCTCCAGAGCCAAACCTTTAGAGGAGTGATAGAGGGATGAAGGGAGGAAGAAAAGAAGAAGAAGAATACTCACTGGACTGGTTCCTCCTCATGTGGACCTGGAAATGAAAACAGGCATTAATTAATGAGAGAGAGAGGAGTTATGAAAATAATGGAGGACATGAAGTACTGCGCCCCCCCCATTCATTCAGTCTAATACAGCCCTCCCAGGACCAACACACACACACACACGGAACACACTAAGACATACACACATGGTACATACACGCATACACACACGTTTGGAGATGTATACACACTCAAACGCAAACACAGTCTCAGAAACATACATTCATACACACATTGGTATGTCAAGATGGACACACACACTCAGACACACATATATACCGTTCATTTACTGACTCACTCACTGACTCACTGAGTGACTCTTTCACTGACTGACTCACTCGCTGACAAACTAACTGACTCACTGAGCCACTGATTCACTGAGTCAGTGAGTCAGTCACTGACTTGCTGAGGCAGTCACTGACCCAGTCAGTTAGTCAGTCAGTCAGTCTACAGCCTAAACAACAAGTTATCACGGAATGAAAGGTCATCTCACTGTCTTACTGACTCACTGACTGACTCACATGAATGCCAGGAGATGGACAAGAGAGCCTGACAGACTGGTTGATACTGACTCAGCACACATATTTGCACAAATATCTGCACACATCTCTGCAGAGCTCTCTGCAGCACCACACACAGCTCTACATACAGCCCTGCGCACTGCTCTGTGCACTAATTTGATTTTTTAATGTTGTAATGAAATAGTTTCAGCACAGACAGAGAAGCAGTGCTCTGTGTAGAGCAGTGTGTGGAGCTGTGCGCTCCTCACAGAGCACTGCTTCTCTGTCTGTGCTGAAACTATTTCATTACAACATAAAAAAATCAAATCAAATCAAATGTAAACAAAAAACAGGGACAGGAAACGCAGCTAAAGCGTTAAACCACAGGGACAGATAAAGCTGCAGGCAGGAACACACACACACACACACACACACACACACACACACGCTCAGAGAAAAGCCAGGATTTGGTCCCATAGGCACAGAGTGGCAAATGGGTTCAATTACAGCTCCCAGGCCAAACACCAGACGAATACAGTTACAGCAGAACATCAGAGAGAGAGAGAGAGAGAGAGAGAGAGAGAGAGAGAGAGAGAGAGAGAGAAGAAAAATGGAAAGGGAGGGAGAAAGAGAGAAAGAAAGCAAGAGAGAGAGCAAAATAAATAAAAATGGAAAGTATGTACGGAAAGGAAAAGAAAGAAAAGGAAAGAGAGCTGAGAGAGAGAGAGAGACAGAGACAGAGTAAGAAAAATGAAGAGGGAGGGAGGGAGAAAGAGAGAACGAACGCAAGAGCGCAAAATAAAAAATGGAACAAGTACGCACGAAAAAGAATGGAAAAAGAATGAGAGCTGTGACACGTACAGAGAGAGAGAGAGAGAGAGAGAGAGAGAGAGAAGTAAACGAAAAGGGAAAGAAAAGCTTTCCAAATAATCCACAACAGATGACACAGCATTCGTCACTATTTATATTTCTGACATCTAAAACAGTTTAACATGAAACTGTTGAGAGCACAGAGGAACAGGGAATAAACAAGAGACCAGACAAAAAGTCTAAAAACTCTTATCAGAGCAGAGGGACAGAGAGGGAGAGAGAGAGACATACGGAGAGAGAGACAGACATAGAAACGCTTCTGATGCTGCAGAAAACTCAGAGATGTGTAGACAAACAGCGAATACAGTTTTTTCTGGTGATTTTCTGGAGATGTGTAAATATTTCAGAATTTAATCCCTGTGTTTACTGGGTTCATTTGGAACACACCGGTGAGCGAAGGCCTGAGGCTGGAGGAGTGAAAAAACCCTCCCTGAAAGATGTAGGTTCATTCCTCCGTAATAAAGCAAACACGCGGCGCAGAGAAGGTGTCTAACAGCAAACAGCCTGACCGGCTTTACTGAACACACGCCAGAGAAGAAACAGAAAACAACCCTGCATTAACTCATTCTGGAAGAGAGAAAGATGAGCAATATACAGAGAGAGAGAGAGAGAGAGAGAGAGAGAGAGAGAGAGAGAGAGAGAGGGAGGTGAAAACAAGTGAGAACAGGCGAATGATATAGACAGAGAAAGGAAGCAAAAAGACAGAATGAGAGGGTGAGAGATACAAAGCAAAGATAAAAGAGGCAAAAGTGAGAGAGGAGAGAGAAAGAGAGAAAGAATATGGAGAGAGAAAAAGAGAATAAGAAAAAGAAAGACAGGAAGGGAAATAAAACAGAAAGAAAGAAAAAAGACAAAAGAGAGAGAAGAAGAAAGAAAGTGAGAAGAAGAAAGAAAGAGATACAAAAATATGGAAAGAGAGAATAATAGAGAAAGACAGGAACAGGGAAAGGAAAAAAACGAGAGAAAAAAAGATTGAAAGAGAAAAAGACGAGCGATAAAGAGAGAAAGAGCAACACAAAGAGGGAGAGAGAGAAAGACAGAGACAAATATATTTAAAAGAAGTCGCTAAACTCTCAGCCTGTCTTTCACACATCCCACCATTTAACCATCCATCTCTCACATATAATGAAACGAGCACAAATGAGAGAGAGAGAGGGAGGGAGAGAGAGGGAGAGAGAGGGAGAGAGAGGGGGAGAGAGGGAGAGAGTGGGAGAGAGAGAGGAGAGAGAGAGAATGTTACATGCTTGTTTTAACTACTGATATATAAAAATGTAAACAATACATAATGGTTAAATATATAATGTAAAGGTATTATGTGCACATTTTTAAAAATCCAGTTAGTGACAGAACATACAGAAGTGCTGCTACTGTCAATAAATCATTAAAACGGGTCAAGTCTCTTAGCTCTGTGGAGATCATGGTCATCTCACAGAGCCTAGGGTCCAAACTAAATGTGGTGTTTGCTGTTGTACTGCATACAAGTTCAACAAACTCCATGTAGATCTTAGATGTGCCCCAAATGAAGTGATTTGTAAATCCAGCTTAAAAACATTTCTCTCTTTGTGCGTCTGTAACTGAGCTAATTGAGCTCCAAGACTTCATTCTTGCTGCACTGTATTTTTAGCGTTGCACCTCATATCTGTTCTTTTTCATTTACATTTTTATTAAGCTTCTATTCTGTTTTGCTGTCTTTGTCTTTTCTGTGTCTTTTATTTTGTTTTAATGTTTGTAAAGCACTACAAATTGCTCTTGTGTATGAAGTGTGCTATATTAATAAACTAGCATTGTCTATATTTATTCAGTTACATGTACTCCAGTAATATTTTGATGTATTTTGTAGTTTCCCCGAGTTCTTTCAATTGAGGTAAGTAGTCTTTATGTTACTGTTACCTTCCATCACTGCCTAGGGGAAAAAAAAACATAATATTTTTTTTTCTTCCATCATTTGAGCACAGCAGCTGACCTCTATGTTGTGTCAAAATTTTATGATGAGTGGACCCATATTAGTGGCCTGAAATTCCATGGTAAAGAAATCTTATTACATTGACTAACATTACAAGCAAAGAAGGTTTCTGCTTCTCCTGTAAAGCTACCATTTTGGTGATACTTTAATTGCTTTTATTTGATACTATTATACTAACATTTCACTAACATTTAGTTACAACTTCCTTTTCTTCATGTTTAATTTTGTTAGGTTTTTGTAGGCGAGAGCACATACAGTGCTTTGTATTTCAGCTTTGGAGTTTTAACATTTTACTTTGGACCAATGAATCCTAAGCAGGCGGAGCAACATGACTTTTATGATACGATAAAATATATAAATATAAATATTTTATCGTTAATGTGACAAACACTAATGCTAAAATTCGCTTTTCTGAGCATAGCGTGGATATCGCAAGTACTTAAAGAACACTGCATGTTTCAATAACAAGGACAGCATAACTGGGCCTTTTTAATTGGATTTAGCGCAGTACAGTATGTAAAACACCGAAAAATAAACAATGTAATCTCATAGGTTTATTATAGTATTTTTAGTAGTATTTATAGTATGTGGCACTACAGGTTCTGTTTCACCTGTTCCAATGTATTAAGTCTCAAATGCATATTATCTATTTTGAAAATGGCTTTAAGTATCATACTTTAATATTTTTGCCATTTTGCCCAACCCTAATCCTAAGAGACAGTGTTTAGGCCACCCTGCACATCTCTGTTTATTTGTTAGGGAAAATTAGGACTTTGACTCAGAGAAGTTGAATGTTATTACAACAGAAGTGAGTTTTTCTGTGTTGGAATGGAATCTGTGTGCATGTTTCTGATGAAACCCAATTACATAATTACATATTTAATGACATCATGAGTTAAGCAATGAATTACATATACATTCAATTTAGATTCTGTGTCTGCTTTGAATCTGCATTCGTGACTTCTTTCCTGGTTTATTTCAACGTCAAAATAATTCCAAAAACGTTGCGAAGAAGCAAAATGAGACATTTATAATCATATTCAGACCATAAGGAGTTATCTCCTCCTCTACTTTACAAACACAAACGTGGTACTGATTAAAAGTTTTACAACAGCACTTTCAACAGAATTTATCCACAATTTATTTTAATGAGCTGTGAGTGAGAAATTATGGTCGCATGTGAAAGTTTGAAAACCCTCAGTCACGTTTTTTCAAATCACGTTTTGCTGATTTTAAGTAAAAGTAATAACACACTGTTATGCAGAATTTTATTTTAATGCACAATTTTGATTTATTTGCTAAGTTTAACATTTCAGAAAAAAAATAAACTCAAAAAAATAAAATAAAATGTCTATAAAATGTGGCCTGTGAAAAAGTTTTGTTTTATTGTTTTTTTCCCCTAATATGATACATTTTTACTTAAATTTGCCATTTTTCTGCAAAGTTTAGTGCAGAAGAATTAGTCTAACAACACAAAAATAAAAAACTAAATCTAAAATGGGTCATAACTTTTATACAAGCCAAACTATGCGATGTATTTTTTTCCCTCAGCGTGTTAAATTCAACATATAAACAGTCATTGTGCATTAAAAAATGTGCATAAAAGGATGTAATAACTTATTTTCACTTATTTTGACCAGGGCTGCATAACCAACCATAATTACATATTTAATAACATGAGTTATGCAATAAATGACATTTATATTCAATTTGCATTCTGTACCTGCACTTCTATCTTTGTTTACTTCAACAAGACAATTATAATCGGATAGTAATACAAAAATCTCTTCTACTAACAAATGCAAATGTGGAACTGATTAAAAGTTTACAGTCTGCACTTTACACAGAATTTGTCCACTCTGTTCAATACGCATGTGAGAAATCATTCATATAAAACTACTCCATGCTTTTGTTTTTTGCAATAACTTCCAACTTTTAGCCTTTAATTATATTACATTTGCTAACCACATCTGACTCTTTTTAAAAAAGATCTGTTTCTAAGGGATAAGCAGTGCTGGACAGAGAGAAATGTTAAATGCCTTTTCAATGAGCAGTTTAAAAGCTTTCAGGGGTTTCAGACAGAGACCAATCACACTGACTCATTCAACATCTTTAGCAGGGCTTACATCAGGAGAGAAAACTTTTAGAGTGACAACTGTTTCTAGCACGGTCAGCGTTTGGCGGTCAGTGAAGAAAGAATGGTGAAGTACTGCCCCCTAGTGACGGCAAAATCAACAGAACTGAGGGAGAGAGAGACGCAGGGGGGAGAGGCTCAGAACAGAATGAATGGACTTCACATCAGCCAATCAGAGCGCACGCTATGTAGAGTAAGCCAGACCAATCATTGGGCACTCATCCGACACAGTGACCAGTCTGAGTGTCTGTGTGCTGAAGTGATATGCATGTTTCTGTGCTTTTAACTGTAAGTACATACAACCACGTATTTATATTAGTCTTTATATAGTTATATAGTTTTTATATGCCATGCGAATGCAAATGTGTTGAATCTTTAAACAACTGGCATTTGAATATCCAAACAATGACATATTTTACATTTGTTATGAATGAAAAGACAAAACCATGTGGCTTAACATTCACATGTTCCATGCAGCTTGTTTAAAAGGCGATCCATGCCTGATCATTCATTTTATTTAGTGACTTATCTTTGTGTTTTAGCTGTGAAATAGCAGTACCAGTTACAGAACGATAAACAATTAATACAGTTTATGCTGTACATCTTATGTCTGTAATATTTCCACATGTAGCTCCACTTAAGATGGTGGAATTTTGCTTAACGTGAGACACAATATCAGCTGCATGTATCCTGATAGTCTTTGTGGTTCTGTTATTCATTCCGACAAGATGTACTGTGCAAAGTACTGTTCAAAACAGCCATTAAGTACAAGTTCTTCATATTTTAGCTTCAGTAAAATAACAAAGTATATATTTAATCGAAAAAATACACAGAAGGTTTTTTTAGTACTTAGTATTAGTGTGTCTACTTTTTGTCTTTACTACAGCTTCTATTCTTTTCAGGAGACTTGCTTTCAGGTTTGTAAGCAAATCTGCAGAAATATTTTTCCACACCTCCACAAGTTCAGTCTTAGAAGTTGGTTAACTCAGTTTTGGAAACTACTGTTTTTCCTGTTTTCTTCCCCCACATGCAAGTGGATCATTTTACATACAACTTGCTAAGAAATATCACCTGAAAAATGTATAACTTGTGGTTGTTGTGGCATCAGAAAAAAAGCCCGACACATATATTTAACAGGACAAGCCTCAACAGCTAAATATCACATTTTTTCAGTATTTAGTGTATCTACTCTTTACTGTTATAGCAGCTTTAATTCCTTTTGTTAGTCTTGCTTTCAGTTTTTCAAAGAAATCTACAGGGATATTTTTCCACACCTCCAAAGTTCAGTCTTATAAGTTGGTTAAGTTTCCTTCCTTATGCAAGTGGATTATCTTATCAAAACTCCTCCTGAAAAATGAATAAATGGTACCTGATGGCTGTTTTGACTGGAAATTAAATAAATTAAGGGTCTCTAAGTTTTGTACAGTAATGCATCAAAATATTACAAGATTTTTTTGTTTTTTTATTGTAAAGTATATATGCCTTATTAACACCCGATTAAGTAGACGTATGCTAATGATTTCGGATGTCTGTACATATCAAAAATCCCGATCCATCTCTAGTTTCTGTGCACGTGTGTGGGTGCCTTACCGTAGCAGAGGGAGAGAGGGTAATGTTGCCAATGGAAGCCTTCAGCTCGTCGATGGTGGCTTTGTGCTGGTGCGTGCCATTGTTGGGCTGCACAGGTTTGATCTCCACATGGAACTTCCTGCGATCGTCTTCATCTTCTGAATCGCTGGACGAGTAGAAGGAGTTGTCTTTGGCATGTGGACAGAATCGTTAAGGAATAGAAACAGTGTTCAAACAAACTCTAACAAACAAACAAACAAAAGCAAACAAGTTATCAGATTAAAAGCAGAATAAAGTTCAAGGAAAGATATGAGGAAATAATTACAAAAAGAAGAGCCATCTAAAAAGTTCTTAATTTTACAGCTACAAAAAACATGATTCTGTGACTGCATTTGCTCTAGTTGGTTGAGGTTAGAGCTTCACTACTGATTTATAAACAACTGATTAATCTACCGATTACTTTAACAATTAATTGATTAATCAGAGTTTTTAAAAAAGGCTATACAATGTAAAATGGGCAAAACTGAACAATAACAAGCCATGTGTTTATATACAGTGGGGTACAAAAGTCTGAGAATTTTGAACAAAATGAAAAAGAAAAGTTATGACAAGTAAAACTAAGAAATATTCAAGATTCTGCACTATTTCTATTTTTTAAGCCTTTTTTCTACTGAAGCTTGTGTTCAGACAACACAGAATTGTGAAATTCATGTTAAAATTTCAAAAATTTTACCTTCACTCAAATTGCAATGCTGAAAATTCAACTTTAAATGACTTTGAGTGACTTTAAATGAAAAAAATGCAAAAAAGTTTATCACCAGTGGTCTCATTTTGACTCCACGGTATTCCAAAATATTGGAAAAATATAGATTAGTAAGCCTATCAAATACAAACAAACAAATAAATACAAGCAAAACAAGCAAATAAATAAATGGATAAATAAATGTAAAAGGCAAAAATGCATACAAATTGGCGTACAAAACAAAGACTTCTGAATTCTGGCCTATAGGCTTTGAAAGCTACAGAATGTAGCTTTAACTAAGACAAAGCTCAAGCAATCAGCTGTAGCTGCAGGACTGGTTGAAAAGAAGATAATGACTTCAAAGCAAAAAAAATAAGTTCTGCACCCAGACTTGGATGAAGGATATCATTTTCATTGACTTCTGGTCGGATGCAGAATCCCTCTTCATCCACCTGAGGCACATTCTGCACAGTCAACAATCAAAACACAGATAAAACACAACAATGCAGCATTACTTATTTCACAAACTGCTTCTTATTATATTATTACTGCCCAAGCATTAGGTCATAACTCACAGCGTTTTGGATATCTATGGCTCTAAAGAAATCTGGAGGAGCTCCATTGGCAGTGTTCTGTTAGTAAAAAAAATAAAATAAAAAAAATACAATTTTTTGACATAGAAGCAAACAAGTTAATACTTTTAATACTGTGTTTATTATTAGAAGTTAATCTTTTTATTCTGTTTATTTTTGAGAAGCACACTGAAAAATGTGCAATAAAAATCATTTTGTGTCTTAATTTTTTTAATTATTACTATTAAAATGCACTATAATTTTTTTAACTGCCTTTTCTGTAAGGCCATTTGAAGAACCACAAAAGATTTCACACTACAAACACAGAAAAGCTACTCAAAAGGATTTTACACACAAATATACCGCACTGACTATATATAGGTATTATTTACTATATAAACAAATACTCACAGTGGCTTCAACTTCTGTGGACTCACTATTTGAGAAAAAGAAAAGTATAATATTAAAATGATTAACAGTAATATTCTTTATTGGCTTGGTTGAAATATGTCTAGTTACACATACTAGGCAGTGGATTTAATAATAATTTTAATAATTTAAAAATTAAAAAATTTAATAATTTTTTAGCGAGAGGATAATGAAACGCTGAACTATAAAAAAGGAAGATTCAGCAATGCTCTTACGTGGAATCCGTATCTTTGTCTTTTCGCCGGCCTGGAATGGTGAAGGGCTTCCTTTTTCTAGGTTTGGCACCTGGATGAACAAATTTATACTGATATTATGGGAAATCATTGATGTAATTCAAAACAGTCATGCAAAAAAGGGCACTTCATAATGAAGAACTGTTGCAAAACAAATAAATAGCAAATAAACACATGTGAGTCAAATGTGCTGCTATCAAGTATCAAACATCTTTATAAAAAGGGTGAAAATGAGTTTAGTTTAATTTAGTATTGGGTAATTTCCTACAGCCTCCTCCAAGAATGAGTATACGAAATCATTCATTTTTTAATCAATCATATAATTTGTTAGAAATCTGAAAACATCCCAAATATAGACTTATATTTGATTGAGCTCTTAGAGGAACAAATGACTATAGGAATTAGTCACTGGTATTGATATATATACACAAAACAACCTATTATTTTCTAGATTAATCTGTCATGCATGTTTGGTTGACAAAGACATTTGTCAATTACATGCAACTACCTCCTGCAAAAGAAAACAGTTTTACTTAGACTTTAGGTTAGATTTATTGTTAGATTATGGTTATGGTTATGGTTAGGGAGGTATATAAACAAAAATTAGATGCAAAATATATTTTACACAGCAAAAAGGAAAACAACCTTTAATCCAAAAAGAAACTAACTAACTAAATAAATAAATAAATAAATAAATAAATAAAATAAAATAAATAAATACAAAATGTTACTCAATAATTTTTCTTATACTGCATTGGCTCAGAGGCTGCAGTTGAAATTAAAATAAATATTCCAGTTTGCAAAATCACAATCATAAAAGATCTAAAATGTCACATACCTTCAGTGGCAACGGAGACATTGCATTCCTCAAATTCAATGGGCCCTGTAAGCACACAAAGCAAAGAGCAAGTGGTCAGTTGGTGGGGACGGTTTTGGCATGTCTTGTAGTGGTTTAATCCTGGCACATACAATACTATGCAAAAGTCAGAGATCATCCTTTATTTATTTCATTTCCAGTCCAAACAATCAATTTATTTTTCAGGAGATACTTGTGAGGAGACTGGATAACGCACTTGCACAAGGAAAGGGAAAATCAAAGAAAAATAAGTGAAAAAAGCAGGAGTTTCCAAAACTGGAGTTCAAAAAACTAAAAGATATAGAGAAAATGGAATTCCTAAGGACCAAGCAAGACATGGTCTATCAGATAAACAGCTCTTAAAGCTTTTATCTTTGAGAGAGAGGAGAAAAACAAGCTCCAACTCTTGCTTCAGATCTGAAAAAAATCCACAGGTGTTTGTCCATTCTTCCACTGTAAGAAGAGAACAACACTATGAGTCTGAAAGGACGTGTAGCTGTCAATAAGCCACGACTGAGAAAACAAAATAGATAAGAAGAACATTTGCAAAACACAGAAAGAAGCTGCTGGTGTTCTTAGCACAATGGACTGACCATCCCAGAGTCCAGACCTCAACATCACTGAATGTGTTTGGGATTATTTGCATTGCGAGAAGCAGAAAATACAACCAACTTCTAAGACTGAACTTTGGAGGTAGGCCAGTGCTAATAAGAGTCCTCTTATTCAAGTAAACGTGAGCAAATAATAAGCGCGGTAAATGATTAAACTAGGTTGGCGTGATTTTTTTTTCTTTGCTTTTTCATCCTGTAATTACACTGAAGTGGATGCGGGAGGACACAGTGGTAGAAGGCGAGTTGAGTCTCTGTCAAATAAAAGAACATAAAGCGCAGTTCAGTAAAAGCTGTGTCTGTAGTATATTGTTAATCTTTAATTTGGCCATGAAACTAATTAATCTAGTAAGAAGGAACAGAACTGTGAATCTCACAAAAACTTTATCATCTTAGAGTTTGTGTCTGCTTAGCTTAGCTCTTTGCCTTCTTCTCCGAAGCCGTTTCCCATTTGGATGTTGAAACGACCTATTTTGCCTGACAATCGAGAGCTGAGACATAATTTTACTCAGATGTTTTCCCTGCGATCAAAGTCCTTTTTCAGTCTGAAACCTGATGCTGTGGTGTGAAGATGTCCTAAAATGCACACCGTACCATAGAGATGCTTTTTTGTACAGGCATGACATCTACTTGCAGCACAGAGCACATTTAACCAGCACAGCTGCACTGGCAGCCGAATATGTAAATTAGTTTTATTGTCACTGGGGGCTGTCACCATGTTAACTCGATTAATCCTCATGGGCCATAGGCCTATTTGGAAATATGGAATAATACCCCTGCAGATTTGATATTATATTATGTTGTTGAGGCTTTTGTGTATGTTTTTTTTCCTAACATTTAAAAATGAATAACTTGATCATCATTGTGACTCACATCAAAAAATGAAGGGTGGTCTCTGAAGTTTTGAAACGCTGGGAATAAAAAGTACATCTGTATAGTCAACAGTACATCTGGTGGCCACCAGCTAGATTTGTGACATCTCCTTTGAGTCAGAGTACAGTTTACAGCCAGCACACACACACACACACACACACACACACACACACACACACACACACACAAAGACAGCATCCACACACAGCCTGCCTGTGGGACAGCGAGCAAACAAATAAACAAACTGAAGTAAAATAATCACATACGACCCTGAGCAAATACAGACCCAGAACAGATGCACAGAATATTAATTAAAGCAGGTTTAAGTAACACGGTGAGACAGAATGGCACAGAAGGCTGAGAAAAACAACAAAGCACACGCTTCATTTCCTGCTCATTAATTTTACATATTCACCTCCGAGCTTTTTACCCTTGGAACGCGAGCCATTCTGGGCAGCTCAAGACACATTAGCACGGGTGGAAGCTTTAAAACAAACACCCTATCACAAACATCACCTATACAGCTAACATTTTCAAAAAATGTGTATGTAACATATATACATATATATATATATATATATATATATATATATATATATATATATATATATATATATATATATATATATACATACACATACAAATAAAAGAGTCAACCTGCCTAAATACACCTAGAAATTCCGTGACTCAGAGTGAAGAGAAGGAAAATGTCCTTAAGTGATTGGATCGCTGTTAAGAGCCCTTTGGTGCGTTTCTCTTTGTGTTTACAAGCATAAAAGCTAATGCTTGTCCAAGAAATAAAGAACATTTTTATTATTATTATTTTTTTTTACTGATCGCCCGGGGCGCTGTTTCCTCTGCACCAAAATGCCCTGACCTGAAAAAAACCAAAGCACATGATACCAAACTCAGAGAGCAGTGGCGCTTCAGCAGAGTTTCCCCTGAGAACAGCACGCAGCAGCGGCGCAGGCAAGCGGCGAGTCACGAGAGGAGCACACCACTTAGTGAGGGGCGGGGGAGTGGGTGGGGGTGAGTACAGTATCATTGTTCTTTCTTCCTTTCTTTTTCTCCCTCTCTTCTCTTGGCTTCTGTTTGTGTGCCATATTTCCCCTCAATCCGAATATCAGAATGAAAGTGCTAAATGGAGTTTCAGAGACAAAAGAAAGCCAAGCCGCAATATCCACCTCAGTTTCTCATTTTTAAAAGCCCTCACCGACATCCTGCAGAGTGTCAGGGGCGTTTCTGAACATTTGGGGGCCCAAAACAACATCTTATTTGGCGGGGAGGGGGGCAAGTAAGTTTTTGAATGCAAAAAAAAGAAAAGAAAAAGGATTAATGCCTTTTTTACTAGGAATAAAAAGAAATGTCTGGATCCACTGTATTTTTTCTAAAATAAGTATGAGCCATCAGGGCCCCGATGGCTCAGGGGCCCTAAATGACGTCTTATAGTGCTAACAGCAGGAAATGGCTCAAGCAGGTTGGCCTGTTTAGCAAGAGTAAGCAGCCTAATTCATAAAACGCTAACAAGAACAGACACCGTCCTGCCGTAGCACACAACTACCTGAAACCACACAAGAAAACATTTTCACTTTTCACAAATTTCCCTGAATGCTTTTCTCTGGCAGAAGGGAAAGGAGGGTAAAAGGTGACGTCAGGTAAATCAGCACACAGTAACAACACGGCCAGGTTGCAGCGTACAGGGTCAAACATTAGTCAAACATCAGGCATGCAAATCTTGTCCAAACCTGGAAAAAAGGCACAAGACTTTGTTTTATAACCCTCTAAACAGACAGACAGTTTGGTTTATATCACATTTTGTGTGTATGTGTCTAAGTGTGGGCCTGTATTTAAGTCTTTGTGGGGACCAAAGGTGCATAGAATTGCAAAAAACAAAGTTTGCGTCCAGACCAACACACTCCTATGCAATATATACTGTTTTGATGAATGTATTACTAATGTTGGTCTACTATATGTTGACATCAAGGTTGGACAATAAAGCAAAAATACAACATCAGGATATTTTGAGATTTTCAAGAGATCACAGTATTATGTTTTTTTGAGGCTTAGAAGTTGAGGAAGCTGGGACAGATGGAACAGCCAAATTAAAAGAGAAATACTATTAAAATACTATGAATATGATAATATATTCAACATTTTGCATACTTCACTGCACTAAATCCAATTAAACAGGACTAATTATGATTATATATGATTATGATTTTATTATTATGATTATAGAACATGCAGTGTTCTAATGATATACTCAGAATAGCATATTGTGGTGTGTTATTAAGTGCTGCAATGTAATTTACCACAATAACGATAATTATTGTTCCACTGCCCACCCCTATACTACACTACTGTTCTATTGCCCACCTATTACATGCCCACACCTACTTGACATACTATTTAGTATGGTCGTATACGGTCTTGGACACAGATTTATTATATTTTAAATAAAAAAAAAAGAAAATCAGCCTTTATTTGCAAAAATAAAAGCACCATGTTTCCTTTTGTGTTAATGAGGTTAAATTTAACAGAATTTCTACATGATTCAATCACTGAGATGTAAACAAAATCATATCAGTTTAGATTTCTTTAGTAATAGTGGTGATGAAAGAAACCAGTGGCTGTGGTGCACTGGAAATAGATCTTTTATTTACTATCCAAAACCACCAGTGAAACTACACGTCTACTGAGTTTTATATGCATATGTTGATAATGGTAAAATAGTGCTAAATCTGAAAGACAGTTTTTTTGGGTGTTATTCGGCCTTCCAAGACCCTGCACGTACCTCTCCTCTGTAAATGGATTTAAAAATGTTTTAGCCCAAAAAATCTTATCCTAAATTATAGTAGTAGTAGATAAATTATAGTGGAACTAACATCTCAAAAGTAATTAAATGGCACTGATGTAAACAAAGTAATTAAGAACGGTTTGCTGTGAAATAATCTGTTCTAGAGAAACTTTCAGAGTCAAAATTGTTCCCAATGGTGGTGATAGAAACCAGACTTTTGAGAAGTTTAATGCCTCTAAAGGCACCCCCTCAGTCAGCTAATACATGAAACGGTTATGAATCAACTGCCTGATGTCTGACCCCATGTTTTCTGACAGCGAGAAGGTTTTGGTCTAATGTGTTATTTTAAAAATCTATTCAAGGCAAAGGTAGATTTTAAGGGCAATTTAAGGCAAAATAATCCCTGAAGAAAACTTACTTTTTCAGATTTATCACAATTTTAAAACAGTTGAATTCCCCTTAAAGTTTCTTTAGAAGAGAGCATTTCAGATCAAATCACTTTAAATGGCTTTGTATACATCTCAACAGTTTCATTATTTTATTTTTTGTTTAAGGTTGGGGTTGTTAGATGCAGACTATACAATTTAGCTAATATAGCACAAAACGTAATGGAAATATCCCACAAAGATAGGAATACAAACTCCTGCGAGTATAAGTGTGTGTGTGTGTGTATATGTGTGTTTATACATGCAATTGGCCACATGTGTATAAGAGCAACGCATGCGGTCACGCATGAATGGAAGATGCTG